CCCAAAACCTTCCAAAGCTCAGGGGACACCCCCAGGGTCAGGTAGTTCAAGCTAACACAACACAGCCTGTCTACAATGCTTTGTAGACAACACAAAATGCTCATTTCTCACCACGAAGGTATGAAGCTTTCTCTAATGAGAAGGGTAAGGCAGTCCAATTCCTGCCTTGAATACCTTTTCATGAACCTGTTCCAAGCAGAGATCTAAAAATGTTAGAGAACTCGCCTAGACTTTAACATAGTCCACAGCAATTAAAGCTGAGGCCTAACTCAGTTGCAACTTGGTGAGATTCAAGTATAGTTATCAAAATGATCTTCCAACGGGGAGAAGGAACCACTAGGAACCTTCTACTGTCCTTTCTCAGGTTTTCCTATCATTGTATCATTCACATTTCATGGTGCTGAAGTGTGAAGCTAGGAAAGGGTTTCTACTCATAGCAGCTTACCTCACAAAGATACTCCATCTAGTTAGGTCTATCCTAAGTCTCTGTCCCATGTTGCATGTTCTAGGAAACTTCAGAATCAGTTTTATCACAGAATGGGCTGGGTTGGAAGGAACTCTAAAGATCATCTAGTTCCCACTCCCTGCCATGGAACACCTTCCACTCACTAGTCCAGGTGGCTCAAGGCCTCATCCAACCTGGCCTAGAACACCTCCAGGGATGGGAGTATGGATGTGTTTCCCTCCCTCAAGCAGAAGGAAAGAACACAGGTCAACCTTTGAGAGCCACCATACGGCCATGAACTCCCAGAACACACAGAATGAGCCACCAGGAACTCAACCTACACCCTCAGACCCCACAGGCCTCTCTGGCACCTTGTTGCCATTTTCTCTGCCAGAAGTGGGAATTTTGGCAGATCCCATTGAAAGCACAGTGGCTGAACACTGGCCCTGAGCTCAGTGAGAAGACACTCAGAGGCAGCTGAGCCTGACGAGTTCTCAAGTGAAGAGAAACCCTTTCCTCACTCCATACTGAGGGCACACAACCACCGTGGCTGAGAGCCTAAAAAATGCTTAGGTAGTTTTGGGAGCTGTATCCTGCTTGAGTTTGGGGCCTTCCAGAGCTCTACTGGAACAGCAGAACCTTGTTGTTCACACTGATTTTTTTTAATTGACAGTAAGGAAGTCTTTGAATCCTGATTTAAATCTAGAGCTAATCTAAGGGGTGGAACAATCTTCCACACTATAATTTATTCCTTTCAATATAAATTAATTCACCTGCTTGCTGTAAACTTCACATGTGATTTAGGTTTAGAATCAGTTCTAATTATCTCTGTATCCAACAAGAATTTCAGACACTTTTCATAGCTCTAAAACATAAACACCTCAAAGGTTCACCATCTCCACATGCCAAAACCCATTAAACTTTCCTGAGCCTTACTCAACCCTCTGGGCAGGTTAATGTCATTAACAAATGATCTGAGGCCATTTATCAGTTGCCCTGCACAACCAGGAGCCACACAAACTCTCCAGCCTGATCCACAAGGCAAGTTCCAAGCAGATGTTATACTCCCTTCTTGGCACCAGACCCCAAATTTCAGCCTTCTGACCCACCCAAAGAGCTGGCTGGGATTTCCCTGAGTTCTCAGCATCATAACTCTATGAATTTCAAACCATAACTGTTTCCACAGCAATGCTAATGAGAGGAATTAAAAAGAGAAGCCTCCATCAAGCTAATGTTTTCCTTGGGAGTGATTTTCCACTACAAATATTACACAGAATGAAGACATACATTTTCCTTTAGCACTATTAATTCCCTCTGGACAATAATCACAACCATGTGCAGAATCACAAATTCATATTTCAGCTCCAAGGAAAAGTTGGCCCTTCTGGAATCCTCATTTCTGGTGAATTCTGAGGACCAGCACACACACAGTTCTCACTTGGCTCCCACACCTTGCAATCAATGGAAATGGAGCTGCAAAACCACTAGACTTGGCCACAGAGTTGTGACATAATTAGTTCCATACATGACTTCAAAGCTTTGCACCTGCATCAGCCTAATTGGCCTCTACTACACTTGAAATGGCTGAGCTGAATTTTCTCTTCTCCAGTCCTATTAGAGATTATGACTTTTTGCAGCAATCAAGGTCTTGGGGGTAGAAATAGCCTTACCTAGGCTGATTTTCCTGGGAAATATTCTCCCCTCTCTGGTAATCATTGTCAGCCACCTGAGTCGTGGATCTCTTCACAATCTGCTTGAGCTCCTGTTCCAGGCGATCCTGAATGGCTTTCACTGTCTCTGGGATTTTCCTCAGCTTGGCCAACCCTTTGATGAGTATCCCCATGAAGACATTGCTGTTCTCCTCTGGATCCAGATCTGTATCTTCTTTCATTTCCAGCAGGCTTGTTTCTCTCACTGCAACACATTTTAAAGGCACCAGTCAAGATTTCAACTACTAAAACAACTCTTACCACCATGCAGAAGCAGCACTGAGTCACCTCAGCTGCTCCTGCTGCTCCACCAGGAACTCTGGGGCAATTAAGATATTCATAAATGAGAAGCTATGATATCCCTCCAAACTCCCTGAATGTGTTTCAAGAAGCTAAACCCCCTAAATTTCCACCCCAGCTGCTCTTCCTTGCTATATTCCTCACAAGAGAGGAATCTTCCTTATAAACAGATCCAGCTGAAGAGACTCCTGATGAATTCAGCAGAGTTGACTGATTGTTTGATGTTATCTCATTCTGCTTTATTGCATGTGCCAAGGGGTTGATGAAGTTACTCAAATCTTTTAGCAAAGAAAATGGAGAAGAATTAGAGAGGATATTGAGGATACAACGCTGAAGTAACAGGGGCTGCACAGGGAGAAATCCTGTTGCTAAGCAACAAGGGAGGGAAAGCAAAAGACACTGTTTTAAGGATGTTCATTAAGCAACATTTCTTAATTTACAGATAACAGCCAGTGACAACACAATCATGGCTCTGCTAAAGCCTGGGTGAAACATTTAATAAATACATTCAAACACTTCTGTGAAGGAAGTGTCTTCAAGGCAAACTCAGCTAAGGCATCTTGGAAGATCCAGAGCCAACGGCTGCTTTGCCTTCCTGGGGCTGAGCTCTGGGAAGGGCTGGTGGGTGACAGATGATTCCTGTGGTTTCAAGTTCTCAACAGATTTTTGACTTACAGACTTATCCAAGAAGCTGAATAAATGTCAAAAGATCCACCAGAAGGATTTAAGGAACATGGCAGGAATGAGAAATGGCATGTCAGGAGGAACAGGCAGCCCTGGAGCTGTCTAAAGCTGTGACACCCTGAACAGAGAGATGAGCACCAGCAGTGCTAAGGTAGAGCCAGATCAAGGAAACAACGTCCCAAGGAGCCACTTCATAAACAGCACCATGATGAACAGGTAATGCTCAGTGCCAGGTCACACCAACCCCAAACACTCAAGAGCTTTGTTTCCTTCCAGAGTGTCACCCCAGACATGGCACCTCTGGCTCAAACCAAACTCCCTGTCCACACTCTCCTGCATTTCAACCCAGAGCACCAACACCCCCAGGGACAACAAGGTGAGAATGAAGAGCCAAGAGGGAAGAAACACAACTGGATCCAAACGTGAGGACAGCACTGAAGAGGACTAAAAGCAGCAATGTTGCTGAGGACTCTGCCAGCACACTAAGAGGAACACACTTCCATTTTGAAAAGAGCAAAATTTCCAGCACCCTGAGTAATTTTCAACACCCTCAAACAGGCAGGACGTGGATTTACATCTCTTGCAAGCAACAGCAACGTGACCAGTTGATTCTGGGAGCTGCTGCACACTGGTTTGGTTCAGTCAGATCTGGTCTGTTGATAAAGCAGTGAGGACCTCTTTTTAGTGTGTTTCCTGCATATTGTGCCTATTAAACAAGAATCCTGGGCAGCTTTGGGGATTTGTGTGAGATCTGACAAGATCCCAACCCTGGGTAACTGTTGTTCTTTTCTTGTGTCTTCTGCACTTCAAACATCCTTTTCTGCCATTTCATGGCATCAAGGGCTGGTCTGGCAGAGAGCTTTGGCTGGAACTGGGGAAAACAGGAGCTCATGACCTTTAGAAGATGGGACAGACAACTCCAGAGGAATACAAGGATGTTGTGAGGTTACACAGGGAGAAAATGAGAAAGGCCAAAGCCCAACTAGGACTTCATGTGGCTATTGCTGCAGAAGGCAGTAAAAATGTTTCTATGAATACATCAGCAACCAAAGGAAAGCCAAGGAGAACTTCCATTCCTTGCTGGATGTGGGGGGAAAAAAGTGACAGAAGTTCAGTACCTAATGCCTTCTTTGTCTCAGTCCTCAACAGCAAGATCAAGTGTCCTGGGGGTCCCCTGGGATGGGAGCAGAATGAAGCCTCCATAATCCCAGGGAAAATGGTCAGTGATTTGCTGTACCACTTCGACATGCACAAGTCAGTGGAGCTGATGGGATCCACCCAAGGGCCCTGCACAGCCTTCCTACCCTCCAGCAGACCCACTCTCCCACCCAACTCAGTGTTATCTGTGAACTTGCTGAGGGCAAACTCAATCCTCTCATCCAGGTCACCAACAAAGGTGTCAAACAGGACCAGTCCCACCACTGAGCTCTGGGGAACACCACTAGGGACAGCCCCAACTGGATGTCACTCTGGGCCTGACCATCCAGCTGGTTTCCTACCCAGTGAACAGTGCATCCCTCCAAGCCATGAGAGGTCAGTCTCTCTGGGAAAATGTTGTGGGAAGCAGTGTCAAAGCTTCACTGAAGCCTGGACAGACACATCCACAGCCTCTCCCTCATCCACTAAGAGGCTACCTTGTCACAGAAGACCAGGCTGATCAAGCAGGACCTGCCCTTCCAAAACCCACACTGGCTGGGCTGACCATCTTGTTCTACCAAATCCTGAAAGCATCTTGTGAAGAACAACATTCCAATAAGGCTTCTCAAAAGCCTCCTAAGACAACAACTCAAAGGAACAATGATTCTACCACAGAAACCTTTCAGCACTGAATCATTTTTCATCTGAAAACGCACAACGTTGTGTTTCAGCAGAGAAAAGCTGAACCATGTGCACCCTGGATTCACCACCTCCAGAGTTCCAAAGGTGGAAGGCTCCCTGGGAGCTCTTTGCTTTGATGATTCCCTATAAAATGTCTGTTCCAATTGGTAAAACTCTCATTTGTTCAGGTCTGCCATTTCCCAGGGAGCCAACCTGCCACAAGGAGTGTTTTAATAACTCTGGTCTGAGCCCCAAAAAGCCAATGTTGGTAAGTCATTTAAGCAAAGCAGCTCAAGAAACGACTCTTGGGGCTTGTTTTTCATTCCAATGAACAGCCAAAAGTTGCTGCTGCTCATTACTGATGATTTCATTAGCTGTGGCCTTTTATGGGAATCCAGTAAAATTTAATGCACTATTTTCCATGATTTATGTCCTTCTGATGATATCCCTTTGGCTTCAATCCTTCTACAGAAAAGCACATGAGTTCAGAGTTCCCCAAAGGCACAATTTCAGGTTTGAAGGAACATCACCTGCTAATTCCTGGGGGTGAATCCTTGTCCTGACACATGAATGGATCCAGTGGGCAATAAAGGGAGAGTTACTGCAGAAATGGGCAAATGTCCAACCAAAGGACACTGAAATAAGTTCTCAACTCGATATAAACTTGACCCATTCCATCAGTAACAATATTGTCAGCACCTCAGCTCAGCTCCTGTTGGAATTCTAACAAGTATCCTCCAGAACCTTTCAGGAAAGAGCAACTCTTGGGTTTGCTGTGTACTGGGTGAGCACATCTGACAGTTCCAGAAGAGCCTGGCAAAGCAGGGACCTCCATAAATACTCCTCAGAGTACAGTAGGTTCCAGCAGAGAATTTAAAAGCGCATTTATTCCTCTGAACTGGCATGAAGGGAGAACATTACTGGTGACCTGCCATATCTGCAATCCTCAGGTGAGCACTACTGAAGGGTTTGTTTACTTTGCACACAGCAGGAACAGCTTTAATTTCCTTATGAAGATTCGACAGCACAAGGTAAGATCTCCTTTGGGAAGAGAAGGCAGGAAAGACTCCAAATTTTGGCATCTCTGCTGAGCTGGGCTGAGTGAGTCAGTGCTTTCTAATGCCACACATTAATATGCACAGCCACTTTGTCTCATCAATGAAAAGCCAAAGAATTTAAGTGACTCAAGGCAGAAACAGCTTTTGTTATGCATACACGAGTTCCATGTTGCCTGGTGGTTCTGCAGCCCTGGAAAAGGCTACTTTTAAATAGAATTACATGGAAAGCATCTCCATAAGTACACTGTGCACTTGAAGCAAAACCATATGCATACTTCATGCTGATCAAATGTTTTCTGCTACAATCTTTCCCAGGCTGAGGGACACTTGCCCAGCACTTCACTGACTGGGACAGAGTGGAACCAGGAGCCAAGGAAGAGCTTGTCTGGTGTGTTGGGTGTGAAGAGCAGGAAGAGATCTGCAGAAAGCAGAGTTTAAGGAGATTTCTAACTGACCTAAACCATTGAGTAGAGTTAAGGATGAAGGCACAGTCCTTGTTTTCAGGCACGTGAAACACGAGGAGCAACTGGTTTACAACCAACCTGCTGGTCCTTGTACCCATAAACCTTCATTTAACTCATAATAATAGAATAGTTTGGGTTGGAAGGACCTTAAAGACCATCCAGTCCCACCCCTGCCATGGACAGGGACATCTCCCACTAGCCCAGGCTGCTCCAAGCCCCATCCAACCTGGCCTGGGACACTCCCAGGGATGGAGCAGTCACTCTCCTTGGATGTGAGTGATTGGTTGGAAACTCTAAGTCTTTAAAGGAGACAAATGCCAACAAAATTCTTTTCAGAGCATATTCAAGGTTTGCATTACACAAGCAATTAAAAAAACAGAGAAGACACTAAAGGTACACTAGAACAGAAGTTGCAGTAGGTGCATGTCCTGCTCTATTCTCCATCCGTAAGGTGTGATGCGAGACCCTCATCACCCCCAGAGCTTCAGATTTTCCTTACTGAACAGAACAAATTTTAGATGGAAAAAAATTGGCAGACACTATACAACTCATTCCCTGAAAAGGAAGTTGGTCAGCATTTAGGGAGGTTGAAACTAGATGATCTTTAAGTCCCTTGCAACCCAAACCATTCTATGCACATTGGTGAGACTGGGATTGAGTTTTTGTGGTTTATTTCTTCAGCTCCACAAACTCATGAATCTTCAGCAAGACACTGAACAGAACCTCTCACTGATCACAGAGCAGAACAGGAATTCTCAATTTTTTCCCTGAGATTTCTCATCCAATTCTTCTCTTCCAGGCTTTCAATGGCCAAGCTGCAGATTCCAGCTCTGAAAGTTTGTGCTGGCAGATCACAGGTGACTCCTCACAAACCTCCACTACATGGAAAAACAGCCCCAGGCTGAGCCCAGCCAGCCTGGCAGGAGCAGAGCCAAGCAACAAACCCCCTACCAGAGCAAAAGATAAGGATAATCACACAGAAGAATCTAGGAGGCAATGACAGAACCAGAAACAAGCAGACAAAAAAGGACACTATAAATAATAAGGATGAGAAGGGAAGATTCTCTGCATTTGAGGAATACTGAACCAGTCAGGGTGAGAAAGGAAGGTGAGAAAGGACACAGGTCAGTTGTGTATTATTCATCAAGGACAACCTCACTTATTAATCTTGTGAAACAACACGAGGATTAATTCCCCATCCCTGCAGCCCTCCCAGAGCCTCAGACAACAGCACCAAAACAGTGTTTTGCTCAGTGTTTGCCGTAGTCACACGAACACACAGATCATCAGCAGATTATTCCTGTGTACAGAGACACCTCTAGTCAAAGTTACAAAGCTTCCACAAGGGAAAGATTTGACCTTCTGGCTCCAACACAGCAAAATACTTCAGTAATCTCTGCCCATATCTGGTTGTCTACAGTAAATAATGCAGAGAAGACCTCCAAGCTCACTGAACCAACTGCAAACCTCTTCTGCTCAAGATATGAAGGTGAGAACAGGCACAGAAAACTAAGTGCATTTAACAGAAGCTGATGGGGAGGTTAGGAGGGGGCAAAGATGATTTTCCAGAGGAAAAATGGTAGATACAAACAAGTTCTGCCCACTTAGTTCATGACACTGCACAAACCACTCCCTAACCTCTGACCTCAGGACCTCCCTCAGGCCTGAGGAGAGGATGATGTGTCTCCTGCCACTGCAAAAATCATCTAAACATCTACAAACCAGTTCTGTGAGGAATCTGTGTGACAAATACTCACTACTAGAGCTTCCAGGAGTGCTGAACTGGGAAGTTTCAAGGAACTTCCGAGGTGTAGATAAATTAGTGACATCCATCAGAGGGACAGGAGAGGCATCTTTGACAAGTGAGCTGTGGTGGAGGAAAGAATTAAAGCAAACAGTTTACTATTATTTACAGTCCTTGTTCACAACAAATAATCCATTTATTCCTTACATGTTAAGTCTAATAAATTTTAATTTATTCCTTAAAATTTTAAGCCTTAATTTCAAAACTCCTTTAAATTTTCAGCTTAAAATTTAGATGCTTCCATTTCCATGGTTTCTGTCAACTTCTCACCCTTCAAACTTCTCTGTTCCCACCAGAAACCTCCACCCTTTTTCCTCCCCTTCACATTCCTGTGCACACCTATGTGCATCTCTCCCCCACAAACCTTCTCACTCACTAAACACTTTCTATTTGGTCATTCTCATCTTAAGTTCACGCTGGACTAGCTGCCAAAGATGTGTCACTGCCTAAGAATGTGGCAGGGCAGTCGTTCTGAGGAGAAAGACATGGAGAAGGTTCCTATATCATGAGGCTCAGGAGGTTTGCTTGGAGGTTAAAAACGCTTAGAAAAACCTGCAGAAACAAGGGCTAAGCTTAGCATCCTGCATGAGAACCACCTATATTGCTTTTCCACCCACAAAACCAAACTTGCAGGGGTTAGCTATGGATTCCAGCTTGGCCGTGGGGAACAGAACACAATGAAAACCAACACAAGAAACCATGCTAAACATTCCTGCACCCTGGACACAGCCTAAGGCAGCAGACACCTCTCAAACACCTCCAGGGATGTGACTCCACCACCTCCCTGGGCAATTCCCTATCCCAGTGCCCCAACACCCTCACAGGGAAAGATTTCTCCTCACATCTCCTCTGCCTCAGCTTCAGAAACATCCCCCACACTCACCCGATCCTGCCCCTGTCCTTGCCGCGCTGGCCCACGCGGTTGGTGGATTTGATGTAGAGGTGACGATGGAGCTCATCGATCAGCACCAAGTGCAGGTTCATCTTCTTACTGTGCAGCTCCAGCCTCAGGTCACTCAGTCCCTCCACCTGAAGGAGAGAACCCTCCAAGGAATCCACTGCTGACACCTGGCAGGAGAACACATGGGACAACTTTTAAACATCAACTCGTTCAGCTCTCAGGGCTTTGCTCTTGGATCAGAGCAGTGTCTGAACACCAGGAGGATTCTATCCATGAGACTCTTTCAAAGCAGAAAATGCTTAAGTGATTTCTTTATTTCTATTCCTAAAAGAAAAATCAGTACACAAAAGGGTCCAATATCCCAAACCCACAGATTTAATGAGCATCTTCAAACATTTCCAGCATATGCACAAAACAGTTAAAACACAGTTCATTCCATACAAATCAAAGCACAGTTTATCCCCAAATAAGAGGATTATCAAGCAGAAAAGTGTTAGAACAAGACACTGACAATGATGTTGGATTGTTGTTATTCTTTTCCATTACAGAAACACTAAACACCCTCATCCCCCAACTCTGTAAATGGGAAGAAAATGGCTCAAATTTTATTTGCTTAAAGTGCTATCATGACTTTAGGTGGAAGAGTTTAGGAGACCTCAAAGGTGTAATGTCATGTAAGTATTGGATATCTGAAACAATAGGCAGGAGAAGAGTCTAATTTCCATTTATATCCTAAAACAAATGTGGACAAAGAAAACCCCATGCATAAACCCCACCAGGAATGACAAACCAGTGCAAAGGACACTTTGCATCCCTCCCAGCTCAAATGTTTTCCATTTACCAAAGCACTTCCCCAGCTCCTAATAAACAACAACATCCCTCTGCAGCTTCCAAAATCTCAGTGCTGATGCTGTAAAGAAACTACAAATAACATGTTTGGCATTCAGAGGCTGGAAATAACACAGAGAGCCATTTCCTCCTAACTGCAGACACTGGTAAGTAAAACAAGATGTTTGCTGTCCATCTCAGGGTCTGGGTTCACAGCAAACCTGGCAGCTCAGCACTGGAGGTGAAAAGCAAGGACACCCAGAAAGCAAAGAGTCCAGGCAAGGGCTGCTCCCTCAGCACCAGGAAATACTACCTAGCCTGAAAAACATCCACCAGCAGTGGATTCCTTTGCTGGCCTCCAAGTCCAGAAGAGCCCTGGAACAGCCTTGGGACAGGCTTTTTACATTAGGAGCTACTGCTAAGAGGAAGGTGAATTTCCTCCTTCCTCCTGAAGATTTTTGCCAGGTAATTCTCTTCCCTGTGAGGATGAGGAGAGTGTCAGCAGGATGGAGCTCAGTCCTGAGCAAGAATTAGTGCCACAGTGTTAGTCAGAGGCTCCTCCCAAGCTCAGCAGCACTCACAAGGTTCCCATCACTTCACACAAAGCACTGTCCATCCTCTTCCTTCCCAATATCCATCTGGGAACAGTTATGGAACTTAGGCCGTGACAAAAACACCTCTCAGATGAAGCAAAGCCCCAAATCTGCATCTCCCCAAAGACCTGATGTGCCAGAGCACATCTAAGTGGAGCAGCTCAGCTCACACAGACCTTGCAAACCTTTGGCAGAGCCTAAGTGCTAACTTTTCCCTTCTTCCTTTGGCAGGTAGAGATGTATCCCAAATTTCCCCACTTCCAAAGGCACTTGAAGCCCCACAGTCACTTCAGGGGAGCTGCTGGTGTTGCTCACTGCCCTGAAAGCTGTCAGCAATGTCACCAAGGCAAGAACAGGATCAGGACTGACATTTGCCAAACTGAGAAAGGCTCAGAGATGAAAACGCAGGGAGGGAAGAACTGGAATCAGGCAGGAAAGTGACACTAAAAAGGTTCCAAGACACCCAGGAAAAGTATTACCTGAAACACAAGGAACAAAAATGGAAAGCTTTCCACAAAAGATCTAACAAGAAGAAAATGGAACAGTCAATTATTTACTGTACTTCCAAAAAAAAAATAAAAAATTAAAAGGCTACTCACTTCTGGAGGAGTTTGGCTCCATAAAGGCAGTGAGGGAACCAAACCCTGTTCTCCCTGACTGAGGGTGCTGCTCCCACCACTGCTGCTTTAGGCTCCTTCTCCTCCCTGTGTGTTGGATGATGAAGATCCCACAAAACATGCAGTGGGATGACATTTAATTAGCTTTTCTGCCCTTTCTCTCCTCCCTTCAGCTGGAAGCAGCTTTGCCATGGAGCTGCCTGGTTTTAATGCTCCCATGGCCTCCTGGGGGCTGTTCACACCACCAAAAGGGCTAACAGATGTGGGACTGGACAGAGAGGGGAACAGTTATCCCACAGGACTCCAGCTAACTGGTAATGGATCATCTCTTTCCCAGAGAACCTGAAAATGAGATACACAGAACAACTCCAAGTGGTTCAAGGGTACAGAAAAAGCACCTGATGGTCCTTCAAGCCTCTTTCTTCTACTCTCACAGCTTGGGAAAAGGGAAATAAGTGATTCTGATTTTCCTCTCTGAAGGCAGAAAACGGCATTGTGCTGGGAGTACCTGGACACAAAGGGAACTGCAGGGAAGAGAACTCTTTCACATGGAGAGGAGCTACAGCAGGAGGAAACAGCTGGAAAACGAATCAACAACAAATACCTTGTTGTTCTTCTTTATAAAGCTGATTTACAATAAGCAAATAGCCCCCAAATAAATGGTATAATCCCCACCAACACCTCCTTTATTCCCTCTTTCAATTCTGAAGTCTCCCTCCCACTGAAAGCTGCTCCTAAATACACAATAACTGCATTTACTCCGAAAATAATTAAAATATTGCCTTGGATTACCACAGAATTTGGCTTAGATAATCTGATAGTTACTCTTGATGCTCTAATCTCCTTATCTAGGCCTACTTATTATTACCTCCAATAAGCAGAGACCCTTCAGGAGATAAGGAGCACTGAAAGAAGCCTGAAAAAAGAGCTTTGCTTTGTATAAGCTAAAAATTGCAAGTGTATAGAAACTAACTGTGGCAGCAGCACCATTAAGCAGCTTGTTTAAAGGTCACAGGCAGTTTATGGCAGGGCTTAATTGCCTTAAAAAGAAAATGTAGCTAAACATTTGCTTAGCATAACATCCAATTTGGAAGGGTTTAATTTAGCATTTTACAACAGACTAAAACCTAAGTACTAACAAGATGTTTGTCAAAATTCTCTTTCTCTCCTGACTTTGGCCAAAGTTTTCTAATCTGCTTGTACTGAAAGCTGCTCAGGCCCTTCAAAGGTTTTGCTAGAGCTCCACAGGCCTGAAGTGAGCACAGGGAAAATGGAATCTCTAAACAAGAGGTTTTTTTCAGAGGGAAAACCAGAATGATGAAAGAATTATGACAGAAACACAGGATGGTTTGGGTTGGAAGGACCTTAAAGGTTATCTCATTCTACCTCCTGCCCATAGAGACACCTCCCACCAGCCCAGGCTGCTTCAAGCCCCATCCAACCTGGCCTGGAACACTCCCAGGGATGGAGCAGCCACAGCTGCTCTGGGCAACGTGTGCCAGTGCCTCACCACCCTCACAGCCAGGAATTCCTTCCCCAATGATTGTTGTGAGTAGAAAACCAAATCCTTTCCGAGAAACAAGGTGAAGGATAGAAAATTGAGATGAGATCTCAGGCAGAAGTTTTCCCTGTGAGGGTGGTGAGACACTGGCCCAGGTTGCCCAGGGAGGCTGTGGCTGCCCCAACCCTGGCAGTGTTTCATTCCAGGTTGGATGAGCCTTGAGCAACCTGCTCTGGTGGGAGGTGTCCCTGCCCAGGGCAGAGAGTTGGCACTGGATCATCTCTGAGCTCCATTCCAACCCCCTAACAATCAATGAGACCAGTCTGAGTTCAGACAACAGCTAGGAAACCATGAACAAACATCTGAGAAAGGTTAAAAGCAAACAACGTGGTGGGTCAGAGTTTGAAGGAAAAAAGTCAACTCATAACACAAACACGATATGACAAAAGGGAAAAAGCTGAACCCTCTGAATAAACAGTAAATAAACAGCAGCAACCCAGAAGGTTCAACTGCCTCAGTGGAGAATAAAGACAATGCTGACATTTAAAAGGAGAATTGATCTGCTGCTGGAACAAGGAATTCACTGTCAAAAGGTACAGGAAAGGAAAATGACTAAAAAGCAGCTTAAAGGAGTGTGGCCAGACTTAAACAAGCTCTGCACTGAGTTCAATTCACACCTGTCATGCCTGAGAGAAGGATCCAGACCGGGGAAGTTCGTTAAGGAACAGGGAGGCATTCACTCCAGTTGTTGGGAATTTCCACCTGGCAAAAAGGCACAACACCTACCAATAGTCTCTATCCAAGGCATTTAATGTGACAAATTGAAGGCAGATGATGTATTAGAGAATGATCCTCGACCTTCTAACTCCACGAGGGATTCCCAGGAGTGCTGAACTCCACACAAAGAGGAGTTTCCCAGCTGGCAGTTCTGGTTTGGGCTGGCACATGGCACCTCTAACTCAACACATTTAAAGGACTCTTCACTCCTCCAGACTGAACAGTCCCAGCACTCACAGCTTTTCCTCACAGGACACATGCTCCAGTCCCTTCATCATCCTTGTGGAAGGAGTCAACACCCAGAAAACAGAATCCTGTTGAGCACTTTGAGTCTCCACTGCTAGAAACACTTAACGAGCAACTGATGAAACCTCTTCCCTGCATTTAGAGCTTTGAGTGTCAAGCCTGACCTAAGTCTTACCAAATGAGACACAAACCAGGAAGTATGAGCTAGCTATGATGATCCTGGACTTAAAGAACACCCTGATGATCCTAAAGCAGGGAGTCTTTAGCTAAAATCATGGAAAACAAGACAAGCACACAGATCAATGACAGCTATTCCTGACTGTCACTGCCAACCTCCCCCTGAAAAAAAGGGGAGAAGGTGCAGAGGTGTGAGGGTTACTGAGGAGCTGTAAAACACTGATGCTGAACAGCTGATTAATACTTTGGATGTTAATGTGATGGAAGAATCTGCTCCCTATTTTGGTCACCTTTAAAGAGCCTTGTAAGAATTAACAAGCCAAAAGCAAACAAAGAGCTATAAAAGATGATTCCTTTGCAGTATTTCAGGAAGAGCTGAGCTCACTCCCCTTCAGGAGATGAAGGATTTGCTGACCAAATGGTGCACA